CCGGCCAGGAACGCGCAGGGGTGCCAGCTGCGGACAGGGACCCCAGCTCTTCTGGACCAGCCGGAGGATCCGTGTCCCTGCTGGCATGCGCTTCCCGGCCTGCGGGGTGTCCTGGGGGGGATCCTGTGCGCAGCGATGGAGATGCCCCATCGCTCCTGCCACTGGTGCAGCTGGGAACTGGCTCTGGCCCCAAGGACGTGGGTGAGACCCCCTCTGCTCTCTCCCCTTTTCCCCTCCCCAGGCAACGAGACGGCCCAGCTGGACCACGCGGTGCTGGCCGTGGGCTACGGCGAGCTGCACGGCAAGGGCTACTGGCTCCTCAAGAACTCCTGGTCCACGTACTGGGGCAACGACGGCTACATCCTCATGGCCATGAGGGACAACAACTGCGGCGTGGCCACCGCCGCCTCCTTCCCCATCCTGGCCTGAGGGAGGGCGGCGAGGGGCAGCGGCTGCTCCCGGCACCCCGGGGCGGCCGCTTCACCCTCCTGGCAATAAACGCCCGGAGCAGCCCCTTGTGCTGGGGGTCTCTTCTGCCAACCCCCTGGATCTCGGTGCCGGGGGGACAGATGCGGGTGGTGGGTGGTCCGAGCAGCCCCCGGGGGGACAGATGCGGGTGGTGGGTGGTCAGAGCAGCCCCCGGCCGTGCAAGCCTGCGAGGTGCAAGGTTTGAGCATTGCTCTGCATTTGCGGATCCTCCAGGCAGGAAGGACAAGCGGGGTGAGGGGTCCGGCCGCAGCCTCCCGGCCGCAGGCAGAGCCACCCTCATGGACACGGGTCCTTGCAGGGCTCTGCTCCGAGGAAGCCTGTGGCCTTCCCGCCCCGCTCCACAGGACCGGCCGGCCTTGCTGCCCCTGGGGCCGTCCACAGCAGCCAGAGGTTGAAATCCCGAGGGCTTCCCACCGTCCCGCTCGGGCTCTGCAGCACCAGGGAGCCACGAGAGGCCCGGGGGCTCCGGGAAGGCAGGATCCAAAGGGCAGTTTGGCCACTTCATCCCCGCTCTCCTCCCGCTCCAGCCTGGTCCCAGCCTGCAGGGATGGAGCCGCTCCGGGTGCTCCCACCTGGAAGCCGTCGGCCCCGCTGGGCCCTCCCGCCCCAATAACAGCAGGGCAGCCCCAGAGGGGACCTACAAGAGGGGACGAGCTGGGACCAGCCCCCGGCATTAGCTGGTAACGAGGAAGGGGTAATGAGGAAGGGCTGCCAGGGAGCTGCAGTCCCGAGGATGCTCTTTGGAGCTGAGTCTGTGCCGGCCGTTTTCGGGGTAGCTCCATCCTCCTGGGGGTGTGAAGGTGCCAGGAGCAGGGGAGCTGGTGTCTGCGCCATGGCAAGGTCCGGGTTGCAGAGCTCGGCCTCTGCGCGGGCGGGCACAGGGTGCCGCAGGGACGGTGGCGAAGCTGGCACCGCGGGAGCGCTCCCGTCGGGAAGCAGCCCCAGGGCACCCCAGCCCTGCCGGCGCCTCCGGAGCAGCATCGGATCCGCGGGGGCCCCGGG